CTGCCCCCCACCATTCCGTTCTCTCCCTTAGCGGCGTAAACGCCCCTGGTATAGCAGAAGGTTTTCACTATGTCTGTCAGCGGTCACTTTTCTCTGGTCACCAGTGCTCACTTTGGAGCAGTAGAACCCAGGCATCCCCAACTTTGTCCCTAGTCATTAGGGAACAGCACCAGATTATAGGGGTGGGGATGTTAAAAACAAAATGAACAGCTTCCCATGATATCTGGGTGATGGCCTCAGTTTGGTCCTTGCTGTCCTCAGAGCTGTCCCTGCCTGGGACACTGTCCCTTTTTTACAGGGCTGTTGTCTGGAGGCAGAGCCTGCCTTGGCGGGCTGTCCAGTGCTGGTTTTCCGGCTTCATGGACTCTACCCAGCCCAGCCTTTCCTTCTACGGTGCCTTTCATGTACTCCCAACCTGGAGAGAAGGCTATACATGCTCATATAGAAGAGGTTTAGGTTTGTTACAAGTCACCAAAAGTGGATTTAATCTGGTTAAGCCAGAAAGGGAAATTGTTGGGTGATACTAGGCCTTTCAAGGAACACAAAGGTGCTGGCATTTGTGTGAGCCTGCTGGAGCTGAGGCATCCTCACTCTGCTTCTCTGAGGCTCCGATGCACTCCCACCAGCCTTTGATTTGACATTGCTGGACCCCTGTATTATATTCCTGAGACTGTGGTACTAAATCACCACGAATTAGGACCTTCAAACAGCAGACATTTGTTCTTTAGGAGGCTGGAAGTCTGAAATCAAGGCATCAGCAGCGTTGGCACTTTTTGGAGGCTATGAGGGAGAGTGTGTTCTGTGCCTCTCCTGGCTTCTGGTGGCTTCTGGTAATCCTTGGCCTTCCTTGACTTGTAGTTGCACCACTTCAGTCTCTGCCGCCTTCTCTGTGTTTCTGTGTCTTCTGTTGCTTATAAGGACCCTTGTCATTGGATTTAGGGCCCACCCTAGTCCAGGATGATTTTGTTTTGAAATCCTTCCCTTAATTCCAGCTGCAAAGAACCTTATTCCAAGTAAGTTCACATTCTGAGTTTCTGGGTGGACATATCTTTTGGGGAGCCACTATTCAACCTACTATAGCATCTTTTCTAAATTCCTGAAAGAAAATCTGTCTGTTCAGGGGAACAGGGTCCCTGGAGTGGCCATTTGTCATTTCTTGGCTGCCTTGCACCTGAAGGGCCTTCCTGTGAAGGAATTTGAATGCATGAACACCTCCCTCTCCATTCCTGGCAATTGGGGTATGGCCATGTGGCTTAAATGGGGTCAGTTGCATGCCCCACTTGGAACTTAGGCTCTGAGCTGGTGACAGGTCAGAGTATACAAGTGTTGTGGCAACAACCTGGATGGGCCAGTGGCCAGTGATGGAAGCCGTGGCCAGGAGCCAGTGGGTATCCTGCCCTAGCTCTTTTGTGGGCCTGCCTTCAGCTGTGGTTCTGCTGCCCATCCCCCAAGCCCCCTATATTCCAAGCCTGGTTCTCTGTCTTCTCATTGACTGCGCAAGAAACCCCATAGGACTTTTCTTAGTAGGGCTCTTTTGCTTGAGTTGGCTAGGTTTGATGTCTGCGGTTTGCTAAATAAAACACCAAGTTAAATGCTCCGTTGCCAAAGCGTGGAGACTGAGGCAACCCCTATACCATATTGCTTGCCTATTCTGGACCAAGCACTGTGCCAGCCAGGATGAAAACCTGGCTGATGGGGGTCATGGGCCCTGAGCCTCATTAGCTTAGGGTTCACTGCTGGCAGAACTCTTAGAGACTATTCATCTGTGCGCTGTACCTCATAGCTGGGAAACTGAGGTGGGAGACGGAGGGGTCTTTTCTCCAGGTTACCCCAGGGATTGCTGGCGGTCAAACTAGGGCCAGACTTGGGAGTCCTTTCAGCCCCCATTCCAGGTTTTTCCATCGCTGTTCATAAGTACACAGTGAGTGCTTCTTGCATGCTGCCCTGTGCCAGATGCTCTGCGTAGAGTCAGGCAGACCTATCGTCATGGAGCAGGGGAGACGTGGCCAGGGGAGATGTGGCCAACAGGGGAGACCTGGCCACAGAAGGGCCGCCTGCCACTGGCTATGAAGAAGTACTGAGGGCCCACTTAGGGAACAGACCTGAAGAGCATTGTGTACCTTCCCAAAGGAAGAGGGCTGGTCAGGGAAGGCTTCCTGGCAGAGGGGATCTTGAGAAGGCATTGAAGGATGGATGGGATATGAACAATTTATTTTTATTTTTTTAAAGATTTTATTTATTTATTTGAGAGAGAGAAAGAGAGAGAGAGAGAGCATGGGGGGGGGAGGATCAGAGGGAGAAGCAGACTCCCCACTGAGCAGGGAGCCTGATGGGGGACTTGATCCCGGGACTCCAGGATCATGACCTGAGCCGAAGGCAGTCGCTTAACCAACTGAGCCACCCAGGCGCCCTGAACAGACAATTTAGGTAGAAGGGGCGGGTGAGGATGACAGTGGCAACAATGTAGGGGCCAGTCTGGATGGGGCTTCTATGAGGTCCCAGTGGGAAGAGGGTAGGAGATCGTTGTGATGGGCCTCAAATAGCCATGGCAGTCTTTCTTCTTCCTCTTTGTCTCCTTTTCCTGTTGCTTTCTCTGAGCAGGGCTATCACAGTGGTTCCAGTGGTTCACCACACAAGGGCATCCTGTGCAAGTGGGGGCTAAATTCTAACCTCTCTACCATGTGCCGAGCCATGTGCTGTGATGTGGGATGGCATCTTCTCAGAGAGGTGTGGTTTTCAAATGTGCCCAAAGGCACTTTATGAGCTAACAGTGGCTCTATACTCTCTCCCGCGTGAGCCCCACTCCTCTGCCCGAGCCTTAGTGACCTTACTGGGCAGGCATCTGAGCCTTGCCCAGCCTGCCCCGGCTCTTGTGCGGTGCGTGGGGGCAGCTCCTCGATGGACATTAGTGTCTGCCCACTTTGCTTTTCATAAGTGCATCTGAGGCTTGGCGGGCGGGGGGGCGGGGGTTGTGTCTCCAGCAGGTGACCCACTGAGGATGGAGCTGAACCCTGGGAGAATGAGAACAAGGGGTTAGCTTAGGCTCCCATGTGTTCCCTTTGAGGCTCAGAGCTCTCCCTTCCAAAGAAGTCTGAGAAGTTTCTCCTGCCCTCCCCCCCAAATCCCTTGGAGGCTAGTACAGAGCACATCTGTGGAAGCCCTCATTCCCAGAGCACACTAGGGTTCAATCAATCCAGCCACAGCAGACGCTGAGGTGGCAAGGGCTGCACCAGGTCTTCTGGCTGCCTGATGTGGGAGCCATCCAGCTGTCAGTCGGCTGGGGGCAGAGGTAGGTGTGTTGGGCAGATGTTCCAAGGGACTGGATGAAACCAGAGTTTCTCACACTGTGGTCACCTGGGGCGGTAGGGATGATGGGGGATCCTAGCCCAGGTGCCCTCATCAGAATCTGGAAATATGGACCACATGCTGTAGTGGCGATTGATACTTAGAGCCTCTGTTTGGTCCTCATATTGGAATAAATGCCTTGCTTTAGCATCCACCCTCCCATCCTGTGCTTACCTAAGCCTGTGAGGCAGATCAGACATGCTTCTATGACCACTCAGAGGTGCTCCAAGTGATGCCAAGACTGGGACTTCTGTGGTGTCGCTTGCTTGGGTGACAACTGGGGAGCATGAGGGGAGGGGAGGGGAGGATCCCTGGAAGGGATGCAGGGGCTGAAAAAGGCATGCCTTTTCCAGGCAGCTCAGGAGGTCTGACTCAGTGAAGACCACTGCGGACCCAACAGGGAGATGATTCCAGTCCCTTACTGAGAGGACCTTTGCAATGTCAACACCTGGTGAAGGAACTGGCATTTTGGAGAGATGGGAGGAGAAGCTCTCAGGGTTGAGCAAGGAGTTTAATGTTTCCAGGGTCTTCTGAGATTCTTGTTTTTTGTTTTTTGTTTTTTTTTTAAGGGAAGAAAGGCCAAAATAGGAGAAAATAGTGGCAAATTATAAATATTTACCTGCAGTAAATGAATGTGGTTGGCATATACAAATGCAAAACTGTCTGTGCTGCTCATAAGACAATTTCAGAATTTTAAAAACATTTTAATTTTTTTTAAAGAAATCTCTACACCCACCATGGGGCTGGAACTCACAACCCTGAGATCCAAGAGTTCCATGCTCCAGTGACTTAGCCAGCCAGGCACCCCAGACAATTTCTAAAAGACCATCTCAAAGACCATCAAATCCTCATGTGTATAGGCGTGGAAATGCAGGGATGGAAGCAGATTTAAATTTGTGGGTGCCTATCTTCTTCCTCTAGCCTTGTCAGTGACTCAGGGACCATGTGCGTGTGACTTCATTTGGAGTTAGTACCCATAGCCTTTGAGCCCTTTTGGGGACATGAAGCTGAGCCAGATGGCTTCCTCGCCATCCTCCCTTTTGATGATTGGAAACATATAAGCCTGAGGTTGAACAAACTAGCTTTTAGAGATGTTGCTGTGGGAATGAGGCTGGGGGGTTAGGGTCCTGCAATCCCACGTGCTGGCGTGATAATCTGGATGTGTTGGGTGGGCCGGGGCGGGGGTGGGGGGGTGGGGAGGAAGGACATCATCACATTTCATACTTTCCTCCCAAACTGTTTTAGCTGAGATTTAACATTCCCCATCCACACCAATTTTTACACAGAATATTAATTTCAAGAGTGCTGTGACATCTACATGTAGATCTGGGTTCTGCTACAGGCAGTGTTCTTTTGTTTTTACAGTATACATGAACTCTCAGATGCCATTTAGGTTAAGGGAGGTGAAGGGTTTTGGCGCCTTACCCAGCCACTCATCCATCCAGGTCTTGGGCACAGGGCAGTGCAGTGCACCGAGTTTTTAAGGCAGGTTTTTGTGCACAAAGCAAAGCTGTACGAGGGCCACCCTTTCCACACTGTTCTGTCTACCATCATCGCCTTCTTTCTGGAGCTACCTGTGGGGAGGGATGGCATTGGTTTGGTGGGTGGCATTTTAGAAAGAAAACATTGTAATCTTTTTTTTTTTTTTTTTTTAGAAAAAAAGGAAGAAAAAGGTGCAGTTACTCCAAAGGAAGTGGTAGAGGAGGATGTTGGACCAAGAGGCACACAGTATTCCTTTCAGTCTGTTAAATACACCCGCAGATATGCGTTTCCATCTAAGAGAAGCAGGGTAGGGTTGGGGAATGGAAAGGAGAAACAATTCCCTGTTTTCTTTACTGATGACCCATGACAGTTGTGGAAGGGGGGGTAAGAGGGAGGGGGGAGACCAGGCAGGAGAGGGGAAACAGAGGGGTCTTTCAGTGACAGAGCAAGGAAAATGGCAAATTATCCATGGTTTCCAGAAATCCGCGGAGGCCCCCTCGGCCCCTGCCCTGCTAAATACAGTGCCGGCTGTATGCACTTCCCACCTCAGAGAGGTCTGCTTGAATATTCTGTGGCATTGTATACTGATGTGTTTGTTTGTGTACAATCTGCCTACTTGTGGGATGAATGTTGGCCTCCAGGGGAAGTCCTGGTGCAAATCAACTTTATTCTAGCGCTGTGTAAGAAATGTCTTCCAAAAACACATTGGTCAATTCTGCAGCCAAATAAATTCTTTCCGTAAGAAAATTTCAGATTTGATTTGAGTTCTCCAGCCTAGTGGCGGGGACAATGTGTGCTTGGGCTCACCCAAGGTTTGAAGTGCGTTTGTGGTTTGGGCCAGTCTTGGGTGAAACAATGTCCTTTTTGTGCCCAAAGTACAGTGGGGGTGTGCACACTTGTGCAGGGAGGGCTCACGGGGTGCAGACCCTGAAATGAAGAGGGAACAGGCAGAAGGTGCTCACCCCCCACCCCCCTCAGCAGTGAGGCCTGGAATCATATTCACATCAGCTGCTTGAGGCTAGAATCAATCCAGAACCTCCTTCAAAGCCTCTGAGTTTTGGCTTCGTAGATTTCTTCAAATCTTCTGGGCTCAGATTTAGAAACAAAACAAAACAGAGGCCCCTGCTGTTGCTGTCACTAGATTCATCTCCCCAAATCCAGGCCGCACCTGCCATGGGATATTGCTAAAGCCAGAGTTCATTTTTGTCTGTTTCATGTGTTTGAGTCTTTAAGAACATCATCAGTGGAGATTAAAAACAGCCCCCTTCCCTCCAAGATGCTTGTGGGTCAAGTGTGGGAAAACTGTGCGAGGGTGTTTTCTCCTGCGTGTACAAAAGAAGTCGCAGTGAAATTTATCCTAATGGAATTTAACTATCGTTTTATGGAGAGAATTCTGAAAGAAAAGAGAAATAGCTGAAGTGCTTTTCTTTTGCTTTTCTCTTACTTAACGCTGCAGCTACATAAATTCATGTTGGGTTGGAACACAAATGCATTTTGTTTGTAGTAATTAAAATGTTTTAATGAGACAACCATAAAATCCACCATTAATTATTTTATTTCAAACACTTCTGCCTTCTTTTGAACCAGGTCTATTTAGAAATAGTTTAGAGAGAGTAGCCTGCAGTTTTATTCTTTCCTCTGCATTATACACAGGAGTGGAGAAGTCATTTATAAATAATTACACAATGTTTTGGGTCTTTGGGCTTGTATAATATATCAAAGCGATTAGTACACTTATTGTTCCATTGTAAAAGCTTTTTTTTTTTTTTTCTCCTTTCAGTTTCACTTGCCTTGTCTTCTAGCTAAACCTTTTTCTGGAAATCTTTTGTCTTCTTCATTCTTTTTGCTTGTTACAGTCCGGGAGCATTCTTCTTATTCAAACACTCGCAGCAGGGGCAAAGAAAGCGACTTCGGCCGCATCTTAAGTTTTACCGTAACTTTCTGGCATTTTCTTTTCTTCCAGTTTTCCCAGACTACCTAGGGGCAATGAAGAATTATAACATACATGAATTATTGGTACTCCCCTTGCGTTAAAGGGGGAAGAAAATGCCTCATTTTCTATGCCCCCCTCCCTCCCCCGGGACCGAGCGAGCGGGCGGCCGCGAAACAATGTATTTATCACTTTGCACGTCTTTGGGCCGCCGGCCGCGCCCGCGCGCCCCCTCCCTCGCCGCCGCCGCTCCTTTCACCGAGCCACGAATACAGGCTCCTGGGCCGGGGAAAGGGGGTCTTGCCCGAGCCGCGCGGCCGAGGAGAGCGAGAGGGCCAGGGCCAGGGCGCGGCGGGGCGGGCCGCGTGCGGAGATTAGGGCCGCACGAGAGGAGACTGCGCCGCGGCCTCCAGCCACGTGAGGAGGGACGGGGCTTCAAAGGTGCTCCCCCCCCCACAGCTAATCCTTGTTATCCGGCGGGCCCGCCGCGCCGCGCCGGAGCCCGGGCCTGCTGCTCGCGGGGCTGGCTCCCCCGCCCGCGCCCGGTGGGGCAGCCCGGGGCCAGCCTGCGGGACGGCGGGACCCGGACCCCGGAGCCCCGCAGGCCAGGGCGCCGTCGGGGGAGCTCGGGCACCGGGTGGCCGCGCGCGTGGGGGCGCTTCCCAGAGAAGAAGAAGTTCGGGGGCGGAACACCCACGGGAGCTGGCCCGCTGCCCCCCCCCCACCCCCCGGGGGGCGTGTCCGAGGCCGGCGCGCGCCCTGCCCCGCGGCCCCCGCCTCGCCGGCTCCCGCCCCCGCCGCCCGAGCGAGCGGCCGGCGCAATCTGTCAGGCCCTCCGCCCGTTTCCATATGAAGGGCGCGCCGGGCGCCTTGGGAGCGCTGAATGGCCGCTCGCGGTCGGGCGGGCGCGCACGCCCCGCGGCCCGGGCTGGATTTGGCCGCATTTGCATAGCAGGTGCTGATGCTTGTCCATTCTTACTTAAAGAAGTTTTAATATGGGATAAATTACCAGGAATTAGGAGCAGGCGTGGGCGGGAATAAAGGAACCGTGTCGCCCGTCTTCTTTACCGCCGCCTGGCGCGGGGCAGGAGAGAAATATTAAGTGAGATTCGACTTGAGAAGTCGTCTCCTTAACAAGCTGCAGCCCACACCGCCCCCCTACCTCCCAAAGAGCCAAGAGAAAACAGGAGGCAACTTTAAGCAATTTGATTTTTAGAATCTCTTCTGCAGCCAGTAAAGCAATAATCCCAGAGATAGTAATACGATTAGCGATGGAAGATCTTTGAGTCAGAAAGTCGGCTTGAGTTTAAAATGTTAATCCTGACCCTAATCCGCCCTGTTGGCGGAGTGGAGTGCTGTGCCACAGAGTTTGTTTTCTTCCTCTACTCTTAAAGGATCATCAGGTGAGGCCCATGCTGGCCCATTTCTTGATGACAGGGAGGGCCCGCCGGTTTGTCCAAGGTGACAGCGCCCCCCTTCTCTGGGCAGGGGTGCTGGGCTTCCTCTTCCCTCTGGGAACCAGGCCCATGTGGCTGTGCTGGCTCCCGGGGTTCATTCCATCTGTTTGGAATCTTGCAAAGGCTTGGAGCAAAGAGGATTTTCAAAAAGATGGGATTTTGAAGAAATAGGGATGGGACAGCTCATCCACCCAGCCCTGTCTCCCAGCCTTCTTTAAGCCAGAACCCAGGGTGTCTTCTTCAAATGGATGGCTGGTTTTCAGGTTTTTAGGTTCCTGGGGACTGCAGAAGGGGAGTGGCCTGCCAGATTGTGGGTCTGCTTATCATATTTGTGGGAGAAATGCCTGGAGTCTGGGACCCTTGTGGGGTCTCCACATACTTGGGGGACTGAGTAGGGGCCGTGGTGAAGGAGGGGTAGACCCAGCATGAGCACTGCTACCCCGTTGCTTTCCACACCAAGATTCTGCCAGACATGCTCTCATAGGTCTGGGACAGCAGGCTGCCTTCTATGTGAGGGACAAATGTCAAGTGGTTCTTCTCTCCTTTGCCTTCTTGCTAAGGTGCTTTTCTCCTTCCCTCTCAGGCCCACACCCTGCTTTTCAGAGTTTAGCCCCCTCTGATCTCTAGCAGTTTCTCTGTCCTGGCACAGACTGATCTCACTTTGGGGCAGGATTGCACCTGTGATCTTTCGGGCAGGCTTCTGGCTTGCTCCAAGTGCTTCCCAACATGCCTGCTTTTCCTGGAAGGCAGTGTGAGATGCCCAAACGGACCATATGGTTTGGAGTGAGAGCCTTGGAGCCCACAGACAATGGGGGAAGTGAGAGGCCCAGGTCAGTGGCAGAGCTCACGCGGCTGCAAACCTCTCTTTCAGCCTAATGAAGCTGTTGTCTGGGGGTAATGATGCAAATGCCCCGGCCCTTTCTCGCCACGATAGTCTAGAACGTGATTTGTCATACAATCTGAATCTTTGGGAGGACTTTAGACGGAACCTCCCCCAAAGATGGAGATGAGCCATATGTGCACTTTGCATCTGAAGTGGGGGTGGGGGCGGTGGGAGGGAGGACACAGCCCACTCCGACTTCTCAGAAGGACTGCCTTCTGACAGCCAGGAGGACTCGGTCCCCAAGAGCCCAGTGCCTCCTGACCCCAGGGGGCTTATGATTGGGTGCAGTGCCCTAGTGTCTAATGACAGATCGGCAGTGTGTGTTGGAAAAAAGATGCAGAGGACCTGGATATTCCGAGTAGGGCGGTCACTGTGTCTCTCATTCCTTTTTTCTGTGCTGTGTGATGAGGACAGGGAAGGGGCCATTCTGGATGAAATGCTCACGTAATAATGCCTGGATTTTGCTGTGCTGAGTGCCCCAGCTGATGTTAATTGCAGCCAGGGTGGACGCTTCAGTATTTCTGAAGCAGAAATAGTTAAGGGAAGGAGGCACCAGGCGATAGGCATCAAGAGCCTGGGGCAGGTGGGGAAGACACAAACCAGAGTGAGAAAGATAAGCAGGAAAAGTGTGAAAATCAGTTCCCACTGTGTGTGTGTGTGTGTATGCTGAAGGAGAAGGTAGTGATTGCTCTTCGCAGAAAGGGAGGCAGCTTCACTTTGCACCTGCAGCTCAGGCCCTGTGGGTGCCCACAAAGTCTGGGCACAGAAATATATTACTCATTATCAATCTAAGTAAAGCAGACTGCCATGGAATGCATTGATCTAATGGCCCTTGTTTACTGGATGCAATAGGGAAGCACCACTAGGCCCAATATGACCCTAGTAATAGCAATAACAATGTGGGGGGTGGGGGGAGAGAAGGGTCTGTGGGGTGCAGTCTGCCCTAGAAAGGGAGCAGGAGAAGCAAAAATGACGTAGTCACATCTGCCCATAGGTGAGGCCTTTCTTTTTTTGCCATACCCTCTTTGTGCCCTCAGGCAAAGTGCCCAGCCTCGCATACCTGGTGCTCAAAGGGTATTTGTGGAGACAAGGGT